CAGCATGCATGGATGAATATGGCAACTAATACTGGAAGTAGTAAAGACTTGCAGCCAAACTGACAAAGAAATATGGAGGAATGTCGAACCCATTAACAGAGTTTTCTGTAGGAAACTCACTCTTGTCAGACAAGTCATAGCAAATATGCTTTTCCAGTGTAGCCATATAATCTCTGCTGCATATATCACTTGTGAACTGTTCCTTCTTTGGAATAAGTGGAAAATGCTTTATCCATAGGCTTGAACCCACAGTCTTGTAATACCCTCTAATTTGGGTATTTCTACTCATCATAAATGGTGTCTTATTTTTGATAATCAAAAGTAATCTATAACATAATGTGTCTCTACAGAGTACTGGAACTATTTTGTAAGGTATTGCCTTTATAAGAACAAAATCAAAACTTTGTTGTAATAAAAACACTGCAAACTGTATAAATGGGAAGTTGGGCATAACTCAACTAGTTAAGAAGCCCTGAAATAAGTAAAAATTAAAAACTGGCTCTGTTTCTCTTGGTAAGTAGGAAGATAAGAGATGAGGACTTGACTTGGTCAGTTTACAGCAGTAAACTTGCTACCAGTGTTGCTGCTGGTGTCAGTGGCAGAGAGATATAATATAAAAGCAAGCAGGTTTCCAGCAGATCCCAAAGAGGGATACAACATAGGAAGCTCAACTTATTGAGTGATGTAACTCTATTTGTGAGGATTTAGGTTGTGTCCTCACATTGCAATGCATTAAAACAGCCTGTGAGGTCCTGTAGACTGATTTTTAAGCAGAAATAGGTATGAGAATATGATTTTTCATCTTTAGAAAACCAGCATCAGTATACTCCATTCCGGATACCTCGTTGTTCTTCAAATAGGAATATTTGGACTAACACCTAGGAAAGGAACCCATTTCCAGATTCTAGGTCCATCACATGTATTAATTGGTTTGTTTCTGACTTAGAAGGTCTTAACAAACTTTATGCAGTTTAAAAAGAAAAGGAGAGAACCAAATCAAATATATTTGCTTACATTTTTGTCAGGTGTTAAGCTCACTGGGACTTTCTGGTTCCAACAGTGGATGGAGTTTAAGAACTGACAACATCAGCAGCATACAAGGCTGCAAGACGAAGTGTGTACATTGCTGGTGTTCTGGTTTGAGCCCTTGTAGGTATATGCCAAGATCTCATCCTGGCTGACATGCCCTAGTGGATATGTATCCTCGTTCTCATCAGCTCATGTTTTTCAGCCACTTCTAGATGGATTGTTGATACCTCCACAGCTGAATGTGTCAAAGGTTCCTTGCTGCAATAAGACACAACTTCTCCCATTGAGCTCTGACCCTATAATTTTGTAATCAAGACATCAATGTCTGAGTGTCATAATTGTGTGCCTAATTTGCATTCAGAATTACCAAGATTATGCATGTCAATTAGGTATTTGAGCCCATGATTAGATACTGTACATTCTGGTATTTGCACATGGAAATTAAACATGGGAAGGTTTGTGCACACTGTTGGACAGATATCCAAGTCAAACTCTAGGAAATTCAGATATTAGTCTACAAAGGCTCCAGCTGGCTAGTAAAGAGAAGTTGAGATGAACCAACATTGTTTATTGTGCAGGTTATTACTAAACAGAACTATTTAAGATGTAAAGTTTAAAATATGCTTTTTGACTCACTAAGAGCAGAGGACTCCTGCTTTTTGGGATCTGTTTGATTTCTGAATGTTACTGAAAGTGGAATTGGAAGGTGGTTTTTATCTCATTCTGAAATCACTCTTTATCTCTAGATTGGTGTTTCAGTGGTAAATGTTCTGCCCTGATATTTTTTCACTACTAGTAGTGCTGAAATATCTTTTTCTGTCTTGCAGTGCTTCTGTAAGAGATGAGATTACTGAGTGGGAGTTGGAGACACATGTGAGCAAATTGTAGAGAAATTTTGAGAGGAGTACTAGTTTGTAACTCTGCTTTTCTCATACACAAATAATACAATGATTTTAAAAATGCCTATTCCAGAAGCAAAAGGGCATTATAACATGGCTGTCAGGGCAATGTTGTACTGACTGACATGTCAGAAATGGGAAAAAAAATGAGTGTATGAAATTTAGATTTTTCTCATACAAATTTTTGTTAGAACAACAGCATGACAGGTTAGAGTTGTGTCAATAGTGTGCCCTTTGAAGTCCCAATAAGGTACTACTCTCAGAGGGTGAAAACCAGCTTGTATGAAAGTACAACAGGATGTTTTGATTGTGTGATAATAAACAGCCTCAGCTAGATGTAGAGGGAACAGTCTGAGGAAGCTATTCTTTGTGCTGCCTGTGAAATGAAACATGATTTATTTTGGCATGGATCCAGTTAATGCCACACATTGAGGGCATCTGGTATGATAAAGTAGGGAAACAAAGAAATGTTAACTTGCATCTTGTGTGATTTTTCCAGTGGACACACAAAGTGCTGAAATTCTCAAAAAACTGAAGACAGGACAGAGAATGGAGTTGCTTTAAAAAACAAATAAAACCCCATAAACCTCTCCAGACAAAGACCAAACCACATATGCATTTTGGGTTTTTTGTAATCCTTTAGCAGAATCACCTTGTAGCATCTGTTCATTCTGAAGCCTGGAGGCAGAAAACATTGATTTGTTCAAATTTGTAGTGCATGAAATAATTTTTTTAGCACCTTTACTATGTTGTATTAAACAAATGCCATTATTATAGTTCTTCATATATCAGCAGTGTGTATTTCAGAACGTGTATAAATACTGCCATGATGAGAGAATATATTTGTTTCCCTGACAGGTTATATGAACTGAATTATATGCCAGAGATTATATAATTTACTAGTAAATTTTTATAATCTGTTTATGCTGAATGTTTATTCTTGATAATGCATAGACATTGGAATCAACATTCCACAGTACTTGTCTCTGAAATGCTCAGAGATTTTCTAACTACTGTATTTTTTTAATACCACATCATCTAAATTAATTATGAAGCAGTAATGTATTCCAAAGGGAAATAAGATTTCTAATAAATATTTATTTTAATAAATCTGTTTTATGAAAAGGTAATATCAGAAAGGTATTTCCAATGCAAAAAATTGGCTTTATTGATTTTCAGAGAAGTCCTCTGTTTTGGGGTGAATCCCTGTGTTAGTGAGGAACATCTGTGGTAACTGTCAACTAACCTTAATTCCATGTATCTGGGAGAAATGGGCTATGAGCATAGGGTTGCAGCAGCATCTTGAAAACATCTGGTCAACACATAACTTTGACATTTATTGAATGTTTGGGTATTTTGTATTCATTCTTATTTTCATAATTTTTTTTGGTAAGAAATTCAAAAGGCACCATTCAAGGGACAATAGTATTTTAATTATTCTACAGAGATAATTAGTTTGGTTTTATTTTCTTTCCTATAACAATGCTATGAGATCTAGGCTGATAAATAAAAATTTCTCTTGCTAATCTATTAAGGTAACTTTTTTATCCAGTTGTGAAGACTCAAATAGCACTTCACAAAGGTATTGCCTTGCCTGCTATTTCCCACCACGTGTGTCTTCATTCTCTTCTTACAAATTAATAGTTATATTCTAAAATGCATTTTTTAAATAGGAATTACTAGTACTACAGAGACACTGACTAGTATTTACTTAACTTAGCCATGTTTAGGCTGCGGGAAAAAACAAAGCCATTTCTCAGTGTAGTTGTGTGGGTGTTTCCACTGTGTTTGCTTATTTAGGTGAACAAAGATGAACAAGACTTTGCCTTTTGGCTGTTCAAACTATTGAGCTGCAATGAACCACGTTATTAGGTCACTATGAAGTAATTGTTTTAAAAAAGCAACCTTTTTGAGGCTTCTGAATTGCCCAGAGGCTAGGATACCAATTTTTCTGTTACAATTTACTGAAATTTAATAATGAAATAGGGAGTTCTCTGCCCCAATACACTGCAGTAATGTCTTTTTATTTTGCTGAATAGGAACAAAAATGTTTCCATCATAGGAAAATCAGGGGAATTAAGTACTTGTTTATTGATGTTGCATAGTGTCTCTTCATGGTAGCAAGGTGCATGGGATTGCTTTTAGTGATAAATTTCTCCTTTTTACAAACTTAAGAGAATTTGTTTTTCCTCTGAACATTTTGTTTTCAGAAGGTAATGTGAACATTGTTTGAAAAATGTAAATTATATAATAGTTCTATATTTTTGAGTGCAAAATTAATGAAATTTATGAAACTTCTTCTCTATCCAGAGAAATAACATTGTTAGTAAGAGGAAATGTAGGATGAATTCTGACCTGTTAACCTCTAAGAACTGCTTATTAAAGAAATTAACCCATGCTGATGGCCAGCAAGTATGGCAGTGCCCCACTGTTGAGCCATTTAAAACTTAAAATTTGGGTTTAAGTGTGACCATGCCACACAATACTGAAGAAAGTCACAAATAGCTGGCAAGTGTTTAGCTTTGTCTTTCTTCTTGTGCAGACAATTTTTATCAGTCTAAATATTATATTGACACTAATAAACTGCCTTTAAACTGCAATGACCTAATGATGAGTGTCTACAACCTTTTAGGGAGGGATCTTAAAAAAAGTAGAATATCATAGCTCAGTGTTGGAAAGAATTGTTTTTATGATGTAGCAGATTCAAAATTCCTAGAGGGAAGATAGTTAGAAATAATATCAAAATTCCTATATGAAGTGTAAAAAAGATATGGATAGCCCTAAATAGAAACACAACCAACCAACAACAACAAAGGAAAATTATTTGATTGAATATGTAGCCAAAATTTATCTTGGGATACTTTTGCATTATTATTATTCTAACACATCCTTAGGTTTGTGTTACTTCAAGAGTCAGAAAGGATTAACTGGGAATTACTTTGGTTTATGAATTGGCATATTCCATCATTTGCACATAAGAACTAGTGTAAAGAATTTAGAAATCCTTAATCATGAATATCAACTTTTATGTTGTAACAACATACTGACAAAACTTTCTTGTCCCTGTTTCAGCATTTCAGGGAACACCTTGACAAACTTTTTGCAAAAGGAATTGGAATGCTGGACATTGCTTTAAATGAAGCTTTCAACATGCTCAATGAAGTAAGTTCATGCTTTTCAGATTTATGCTGGGGACAACTTTCTAGCTATTTAGCAATTGCTGTCAGTTTTAAGATAATAAATTAGAACTCACTCAAAAATATGGTGATAGTAAGATATTATATACGATTATTATACAATTATATACAGAACAAGAATTGTGTATAATCTATATTTGGTGGAATATATTAAAGCATTGCATTATTATATGTATACATTTTATATTAATGCATTTTCTGTCTATATATACTGTCTACATTATGCATGCATGTGTACATTAAATAAGCTTTATTTCAGCAGCTGTTCTAGGTGTTAAAAACTACCAAGGTAACATGCAAAGTTCACAGATTGTTCTGGTTTTTCTTTGGAAGAGCTAATGTTTTAGGAATGACAGGAATTTGTATATTCGTAAACACTTTGAGAATACACCGTTACTAGAGTGTTGAAATGATTGTTCATGGTTTTGACCTCTGGCATGACAATATCTCTTATAACTTACAAAAAGGATGTTACTTGAACACTTCTGTATTTACTTCTGAGATGCTGTAAGATAGAGGGAGAAATATAAAGCTTTGTCTAACGAGCTCAAAGGTATTAATATTATTTTAACTATTTGTCTGCCAAAAACATGAGGTTAACTTTCTGATAGCATTCTTGTGAATAGCATCTATAAACAGGAATACAGTCTCTAGAAGCTGAACATTGTGATCATGGAGAAAATACAGTGCAGGGTATGCATTTCCTCACAAGGTGCATGTCGCTCTTAGTGGTTATGGTGAAACAATTTTATGTAGTGTATTTCAGAGATTCTGACAAAAATAAAATACATTGTGATGCTACCATATTTCAGCAAAGAACAACTTTAGCAATATTTTAATTCAGCTGACTATATGCTCTCTTGGGAATGTATACTGGAAAAAGCAAGGAAAGAAAGGAGAAAAGTGAACAGTAGCAGTAACTAAAGAGAATTAGTATGAGGGAGCAAACCAATGAAGATAAAATGTACCATCAAGTATTTCTCATGATAGGATGAAGGGAAAAGCCTAGGTAGTGTGGTAGGACTAAAATAATTGTTTGCAACCTCTGTTGATATCAGGTCAGATATAGGATTCTAGTAATGGAGAACATTCACTTCTTTTTGATAACTAGTTACAAGCAGATCTCTCCTCCTGGATCTTTAAACTAATGAGCACTTGTAAAATTGTAAGCTGTTCTATCATAAAGCTACAGCTAAGCTGGTTAAGCAAGACACATGTAGCAAATGCCATTTTGAAGGGCTAAAACACCAAATCTGCCAAAGGCCAGAGTGCATATTGAGGGGGGAAATGTGGGATGTTTCAGTTAGCCTCATGACTGAGGAAAGCAGGAAACTGATTAAAAATACCCCAAGCACTCCTTTTTGTCCAAGTACCAAGAGCTCCAAGGTGAAATACTAGCAATCAGTGCACTGAGACCAAAGAAAACTGAAACTCTTATCCCAGAAAATTTCCCTTTTAAGACCTGGAATATTAGCTTTAAAGTTAATTCAAAATGATGATGCTACATATAATCCCCTCCTAGCATTTTCTAAGGCAAGAAAATGAAAATCCCTGTTTCTGTGGATTCTTTCAGAATCCTCCATCTGACCTAAAGGTCACTGTCTTCAGTAGGGTGCCAAACCCCTGTTCTTTTCACCTTGGTGGTAATCTTTGAATGGCATTAGTGAGACAGCCAAAGTGACTAGATACCTTCCAACTGAACCATCCCCTGCTATATGGCTGGATGTTGCAAGTAAACATCACCAGCATATTTAAACACTGCCTATACCTTTCTTTTTAAGTTAATATTAGCAATTTAATATATGATTGAGAATGCTTTGGTGTTTCCAAAAAAGCTCTTTAATAACAAAAAAAAAGGAAGATAAAATATTTCAATATAATCTATGTGCTCTTTTTAATAATCTGAATCAATTAAGATGTGAGTTGATCCTGATTTAGAGCCCCCATGTGTAGTGGCAGAGCAGCATCAAATTCCTGGCAGGTGCATTTAAATCACGTGGACTTTCAGCCATTAAGTAACATGAAAATAGATTATGCACGATCTTCTGTTGCTTTGAGTTTTTCAAACACAGTTACTTAAAAGCTTTTAAAAGCTTTCCCAAAGCAACAAAAAAGGGAGATTGCAATGTAATTGAACCACAATATAGTGATTTTATGTCCCAATTATTGGGCTGAAATGTATGGACTATGTTTTTTAGCTGATCAGTGTCTGATGATATTATGCTGATAATGTAGTTCCTTGTGTATTTAGGCATTTAAGTTTGTCTGCAATTAGAAATGAATCTGTTCTGTCATGGTTCTCATGGTGGCATTCATTTGAGGGTAGTTGATGTTGTGTAGTGTTAATATTAGTGATGGATCCTTACAAGTAAATTCATAGCGTGTTTTTTCCAAAGAACAGCTTGGCCTTGAAAGCCACACTTCATATCCAGAAAAGTAAATACATTTCTCTCTGTGTATATATCAGTTGTAAAGATAAAAAGAAATTTACAATATTTAGAGACAAGCTTTCAAAAATAAACATCACTGCCTTGTTCATACTAGTTGAACCTCTATAACATATTCAGGTTACATCTTCTCAGTGAGCCAAAGTGGCCTCCTGAAATCCTTTCATAATAGCCTCTTTTCAAGAAATCTCTGAACTCTTTTGTCTGTGGGTTCAGAGAAACTGCTATTAATGTGCTCTGTAGGTGTGTATTAGAGAAGAGCCTAAGTTTAGAGCTGATGATTTAGAATCCCTGCTTGCTGCTCGGGAGTTTGGATCCAGAACTAGTTTGTTTTATCATTCTTGGTTTGAACAATGCATTGGGGTGTTCACTGGGATATACTCATTAGAAATCCTTCCTCTCTAGTCAATATATGGCCCTAAAAAGAGGCACCATTTTTAAAACTATAGTTTTTTTCTTTTAAACTGAGATACATTTATTTCAGTGTAAAAGTTACACTTTCAGTATCAATGTTACTGTTATCCTTTCAGTGTAAAAGTTACTCTGAAAGCTTAAATTCAGTAAAACCTGCTATATCTCAACTAAGCTTAGTGAGGGTTAGTAAAGAAAGCTGAAAAAACATCTTTACTTTAAATAAAGATGACATTTAGGACTATTCTGACTCAAGTTTTCTTAATGTCATGGGAACAGTTTTGTTTCCTTTTTTTGCTCAGCATTTCCCAGACCATCTATTTTACAGCTTATCCACCCTTGGTAAATTCTATGTTTTAAAAATCACATACCTTTAGAATGAGTATGTATCCTAACTAACTTCAGTTAGACTTTAAAAGTTCAGAAAAACTAGTCATAACTCATGAATTAACAGATTATAAAATAAAGATGAAGCTACAATATTTTTAGAAATTTTATTATTATCACTCATATTTACCAGAGTTATTCTGGAAAGAATAATTTCAGTCACAAATACAGGGAACAAATTCCTTTTTTCCTTTTTTTTTTTTTTTTCACTTTCCTTCCCCTCCACCCTGCTCTTGTCCTTTTCCTTCTCCACCTCCTTCTTGTTTTCCCTTTTTTCAACAGACCTAATATTCCTGAAAATGTTTTCAAGTGTTTCCTTAAGTATAACATTTATTTTGGGGAAAAATGTTAAAGTCAGTTAGTCTGCTGGAAGACGAAAAAATCTAATCTAAACTAAATAGCACACATTGATTGAAGGATGTACCCTGCCAGTGAGACCTCAAACCAAAATATTTTGCATAAGGTTTGTCTTGACAAGTGTGTCTGCCTTTATACTGTATGATCATAGATTAATTCACGGTTCTAATTCCTTTGTATTCATCTTGAAGGACAATATTGATCAATTCTTTCCCAGGCATCAAATCCTAAGATGAAAAAGGAGGATCCTCCTCCACTCACTGCTTGTGTGTTCAGCCAGACAGTGTGGAACTAATGCCTTCATGTGGTACATGCCAAAAATGACAATGGGAAAAGGTGCATGAAGTAAAGAACATTTGAAGTTGTTTGTAGAGGGTTTATTAAGAGTTGTGGGCACCAAATATAGCCTTAGGAACAAGAAACACAACCGTAAATAGCAACCAGCCTCAATACAATATTCTTTGCTAGTCTTCCAAAATCTGTGTAGATTGAAAAAACCAAATTACTGATGGGAATCAGGAAGGCCTTAAAAAACATTTGTTTTGTTTTGAAATCTCTGAGGCAACAGAAGTGATAATGATGAATGTGCTATAAATATCTCAGATAAACCTATAGTTTAGAGAATAAAGGGAACTGACCTCCCATCTACTGAACTGTACCCACAATGAGAGAGATCTCTAATGTCATGATGGATCATGCTACATGTATGTTCAGATCAGCTCAAGGTGATGTACTGATTGTTTCTATTTATACTATAAAAGGAAGGTTCAAGCCTTCTTGCATATAAACCTCCAGAAATGACAGCATAAAATTCTTTTCCATTATGTACAGGCATATCAGCAGTCTCTGGGTGCTTCTATTAAGCCAGAGGAAAAAGCTACTTAATCTCTCCTTAAAAGAGTATAGCAAACCATTTTCCACTTTGTCTACAGGATGTGACTTTTATGTGCCAGAAACGTATTCATGTGAATTATAGGTTAGCTAAGGATGTCTTTTCTACATTAAAAAACCCAAACCAAAACAAAACAAAAAGGACAGAGGGGAAGAAAAGGAAAAAAAGAGAAAGGTTTGTGTTACGCAAATCATCTGTTAAGATTCTGGTTGGATTTTAGAATGGTTCAGGGGTTAGACTAATTAAACTCAGTTAATTTTGCCTTGCAATTACCTTTCAGTATTTGCTATGGCTGTTCAGGCTTGAAGATGGTTGATACTGATGTCTTTGTAAAGCATATTTAAAAATCCACTTCCAAATACATTCCATTTATACAGTGCATATTATAGTGTGTAAGAATACAGAAGTGCTTGGTACAGTAGTTAGGCACCTACTGTGTCATGTGACAACTGCAATTATCTCTTTTGGTGACAAATGCTCTCTTTGCAGTGATTACCTTTAAAAAATGATAGCCAATTAAATAAAATTCTGTGACATTTCAAAGACTGTTAATCACAACCAAATGCTGTAAATGTCAGGATGCATTGAAATTTTTGCTGCTAACTGATGAATCACTGAGTTAATTGTAGTTCATCATAAGGCACTTGTCATTGTTATTATTATGGAAAACACTTTCATCACTCTTGCTATTCAATAAAATTAAAGTTTTAGACAAATATGAGAAGATATTACTCATCAAAGTATTTCAATTTAATCTCATTCTTCAAAATATTCAGATAACTATGTAGAATAATGCAGATGCATACAGAGTGGTGTTTTGAAATAAATGTATGAAGGCATTCCCCCTTCATTAATTTCTCTTTTAACATACCTTGTCACTTTCAAAATATATTGTCCATATGAAGAATATATTACTTGACAAAGTAACTTCATCTTTATGAGAAAATGTTGAATCTAAGACCATGAAGGAATCCCACTTTAGTAATTCTTGTTCTGATTAAGACTGGAAAAACTGTCATGACTGAAGAATTTTAAGGATAGTCTTCCTTGCAAGTATAACAGAAAGGATTTTTCACCAGGCAGTGACCAGAATACAGCTAATTCTGTAAGCCCACATTAGTTGCCCTTTAAGCAGCATGTTTCTATTACTGTTCACTGAGGTTCCTGTTTGATCAAAAAGAAACTGATCTGGAGGAGAGATGTAGAGGATAGAAATGATTGTTGAATGTGGGTGTGATTACTCAGATACAGAAATGTGAAGGCAGAAGAAAGAGGACAGAGCACTGCTGAAACCCACCATCCACCCCTTCCTACTTTCTATGTAGATGGCATTTTTAAAAGTTAAGAACTTTTCTAACAAGAAGTGGGTTTTAGAATTTTGGGAAGAACAGTGAATATGTAAGGGAGAGTAGACTGCAGAAAGATTAAAGACAGAGCATTTGCTAGCCAAATGAGACCAGAATACTCTGAATAATTTTTGTTTAATGCAGAAACAGTCAGAGTCCCTGCAAGGTAATACACCTTTAAATCTAAGTACTTCTTCTCAAATGGGACCACCCTATTTTGGGGCACAGCTAGCATGGTGAGGTGGGACAAGGTAATTGTTGCTTGGCTTTCTCAGCATCGAGGGAAAGGTGATAGGATAAGGCCTTGCCTGACCTTGAATTTGATAATGTACATGAAAACTACATAGGCAGAGAACAAAAGAGTGTTCATTCATTATCATGTATTCAAGCATTAGTCCAGTCTATAAAGAGCTGTTTGTAATATCCCACTTTATTGATATACTTTTCACAGATTCTTTTAAGTGTTAAACAGAACAATTAAAAATTGAATAGTTTTCCAAGTTTTCTGCAACAAAAGCAAATGTAGACACATGGATTAAAAATAAGGCCACCAGCTCCAGAATCAAGTGATCAGTGATCTTGTTATGACTCAGTCCAATGTGTTGTTCTTCGACAGGGGAGAAGCCCATTTGTCTAATGATGAAACTTTCTTTGCATGTGCCAAAGAATATGTTGATTGCTCTCTAAGTACCTGTCTCAGCTGTTCAGCAGCTTGAATTGCTTGTATGTATTCAACTAACAGGAGAATCTGAGAATATATAAATATGAACTTTATTCTTCCAGATAAATATTTCATGGGAAATAGCATATGGAAGGTAATCCTGAGTGATTATGAATGCCATATGAATAGTCATATGTCTCCATGAGTTGTGTGTCTTTTGTACTGTGCAGAAAACTCACCAGTCATTCATTACTTCTTTTTCTGTAACTTGCTCTTTTAAAATTATATTTAAGTCAAAGCAAATCTTATACAGACCCATCAATACTTATCATCCACCTGTAACTTGCTCTTTTAAAATTATATTTAAGTCAAAGCAAATCTTATACAGACCCATCAAGACTTATCAACCACCTGAATCGGGAGAATACACTTTTAATTTGGAGATGTGCTGTATTTATGTTTCTTATTTTACAATTCAGTAAGGACTTAATATCTATGATAAAATGTTTTCAGCCTGAATATTTTCACCTACTTCTAAGCATATTAGAGTTTTGACAAGCTCTGTGTTTATCCAGTGTGAGCCTGTCTATCTTCATTTAAGAGCAATGTGCTGTGCCTAATGATTGTTTCCTTTTGCAGTTCAATCACACAGGACAAGGAAGCATTTGCAGCCAAGCAATAATGTTGATAACTGATGGAGCTGTGGACACATACGATACAATATTTGCAAAATATAATTGGCCAGACAGAAAAGTAAGTAATCACCTTTAATTGATGGAAAACCTAAAGCTTCATATCTAATATAAAGTGTATGCCTATAGAAAAGTCACTAACAGTCTTTGTAATGATCTAAAAATGATTTTGGATAACTGGATGTTTCACTAATGACACAAATGGTGCTTATATGATATTGCTCGAGGACAGAAATGGCCTTTTACTGTAGTAATGAACTTAGGTTAATAAGATATTAAGGCACTATTCCCCTCCAGGGTACATTTTTGAGCATTATATAATCCTTCTCCTGTGAGACATCATTAAACATGAAAAACAAAATTTTTCTTCTTTCTCCCAAAATACACATTAACCATGTTTTATCAAGCTAAAGATGGGTATGTACTGTGGAGAGTGAACAGCTTACTGTGCCTGGAGAAGTAGCAGATGTAGTACTCAGATATTTAATTTGTTTATTTGGCAGAGTGAGGGATAGAGTTGATAATTGGTAAGACTTTATTTAAAATGTATTTGGTTCTATTGATTTGTATAAAAAACTATGTCCAAAATTACATTACCTTCTTATGTAACACCTGGAAATTTCATAGTAGTATGGAATGCCTTGAATTTTCCTAATGAGAAAGCTCTAGTAGCCTCATGTCTGGATGTGCAATAGTTTCATTCTGCACTTTATCTATTGCTAAAGCAAGTTTTGGGACTAATTTAGGGAGTTTAGGAAGTCTTTGTAGTTTGAGTTGCCTGCCATTTTATATGCCTGTGGAAGCAGTAACGCTGTGGAGTGCAATTTGGAGCAAGTGATTGATTGATATGAGTGTTCTGCACGGGAGTTCTGTATTCTTTGGGAAAAAAAGTAGTAGCTTTAATGTGTAGCTTTTAGTCATGTTTTCCTTTTATAAAGTTCTGTTTGTTTTCTGTTCTCCATTTTCTTGTTTACCTGAACTAAACCTCATCTAATAGCAATCAGTGAGCAGGAGAAAATGGAAAATTGGTGATTTTGATTTTTTTAGTGGTCTTCTGAAAATGTTGTGTCAATTTATTTTGATTTTTTTAATGGTCTTCTGAAAATGTTGTGTCAATTTCTGTCATTTTGTGTAGTAAAAATGATGTACAACTATTCTACTTTTTGTTGGTTAAGAAGCAATTTTTCAGAGAATGTAGACTACTAATGAACTTCAATCTGAAGATCTATTTTTCTCTTCAGATATGTTGCTTGCTCCTCTTACGTAACTTCATTCTCTAAAAGAAGAATGTTCATATTTGTGATTTTACCAGGACATGCCAGGAATCCTGTAATCTTTAAAAGAATGCAAGGATGCATTGGTACTTCTGCATTTTCTGAGGAGCCCTATAATACATCTGGTGTGAATTGATGATAACTGTTGTGTAGTGGAAGGGATTAGGAAGTTCAATATTTAATTAATGCTTAAGATGTAGAACTAGATATGAAAGAAGCTCCATTGATGTCTCCATTTGTTCATTTTGGTATTTATTTGAATTTTGTTGGGTCACATATCAGTTTGCAATGGCAACATTGCTGAAATAGAACAGAAATGTTGTTTATACTCTGTGACATGCAAGAAGTACCTCCATGAAATGTGGAGATTTGCAAGTTGGAGGGGAGAGTATGTGATCTTTGATCTTTGTCTCCCTACTTTTCCTTAGTACTTTTCACGGAGATTAATTGTTGTTGCTATTTAAATTAAAATATCTCCTGCCATTTCTAATTCTCTAATGGGTGATTCTTCAGGGGTAAAGCTTTTACTGATTTTTCTCTTTATTAATTAGACATTTGTCTAGTGAAGTTACTGAATAATTCTGGAGACAGTAACGTTCTTGAATTATAGCTTACCTTTCAGATATTTAAATGTTCTAAATGGAATAATCTTGTATCAGACAGATTACATGTTACATTTTTCTTCCTAAGTAAATGAATGTAATTCCTTAATTTTATATGGCTTTGGTCTTTTATTAGCTGGCTGTGCTCATATAAATGCTTGGTAGTAATATAGTCTCAATATATTTCTTAAATCCTTTATACTTATATCTGAATGTTTTCTGAGAGAAACAAGACAGTTATAACCTGATGGTGAAATTGTTATTTTAATAGCTGCATCTTCAGATCAGAAATGTTTATAAACAGCATGCAAAATTTTTTCCTTTTCCTTTTTTTTGAGTAATTCCCAAATGTTTTGATCTATTTTATTCCTATAGAAATGGTCTGAGAAGTGATAATTTCAGCTATAGATTTCAGAATTTACTCTTAATACTTTAGTCAGTGAAATCTTGTAATGGTTCGGGCTCTCCATGATCAAAGGATGTATGAAGAATTTTCAGTAAGCAATATATAAATTTAGACAAATTAAATTTAGGCAAATGAAACAGAACATATAAGGAATATGACTAAATCTAAATTATCTTTGGAATTTCAATCAGTGTTCCTGGCACCTTCTCAATCCCACTAGTTTTATATATTTTCCAGTTTTCATACAGTTGAGTGACTTTGTTAGCTCTGTTGTATGAAAACAAAATGTTGTTCCTCTGGAAAGATGGCTCAAAAGTTAAAAGTCTTGTGGCCAGTCCTTCCTCTCTTTTTCAATGGGACACTCTCCAATATAAGTCGCTAGGTCCCCAAATGTTCCATGAGAACATTTAGCAAAGACTGATGTCTAAGGAGATCCACAGAATCCCTCAGAAGGATCTTCCTCTGATGTGTTGTATTTTATTATACTATGAAGTTATTTCCTCTTGCAAGAAGGAGAAGAGACCATGGGGAAACTCTTTCATAAGAAATCAGTAAGAAAAGAATTCTCTGAAAGAGGCAGCTAAGTATTTTCACAAAACTGTGTGTTGTATATCTTTCACGTGCAAATCCACAGCTAAATCTGAGATAGCAATACTCAGTACAGCTGTTGCAATAAGCAGCAGGATAGATTTCCCTTTGGGAATACTTCTACCAAGGCCTAGCATGAAGAATCCTACCTTGTTTAGAAGGGCATGGTGTTTAGGGAGTAGCTTTTAGTTAATATGCAATATTCTACCCACCTCTTACAAAACTATTTAATGTATTAATACAGTCTTCTAAATTGTATATTAGAATATAGGTAAGGAAAAAAAAATCAAATCAGTTTGTCCTCTTTCCTGGCTGAAATGTTTCAGTATGAACATGTTCCATGTGTTTGCTTTAATGCATTAGAACTTTCAATGTCTTTGTTGGATTTGTTGTTCTAGACTTATAAAAAATGCAATATCCTATATATCCTACATATTTACAATCTCAGTGAGCCTAAAAATTATACATGCCATGCACTTCAAATTCACTGCTTTTGCATAACACTATCTTTATTTTCTCCAAAGAATTTTTTTATCTTTATAAATCACACCTTTTAACTGCTTAATAGGTTTTTTATATTCTCATTTATTTTGTCCTCCATTCATCTATGTGTTGCATTGCCATCTTTCTTATAATGCTTTTCCTGCATTTTGATACTGTGATGGACATTGATGGAAAAGGTAATTGCTCAAATTGAGGGAGGTTCTTAATTTTCTGTTTACCTCAATTACGCTGTCAGCAAAGTACAAATTTCGGTCATAATCTATCTAATGTTAGATAATGTTGAATGTGTTATCATTAGTTGCAACAGAAGCATCATATTCTCTCATGGAAAGGAAGAATTTCTTCATATAACTGTGAAGGCTTAACCAGTTTGTTTGTGACAGTCTCTAAAAATAGAGAATGAATACAAACTGTTAGGATGTAAATAACAGTTCACATTTTCTTCCTTTTTTCCAACTATTATTTATATCTTTGCAAAAGATAGTGTTTTTTTTTTAAAAAAAGATATCGTGTAAACAGGGATAAGAGCACTTTATTACCAATTATTGTGGATGTATTCTGCCTGACAACTGATTCAAAATCATCTTTCTGATCATGCATTTTATTAAAATGGTGTTGCAATGATTTTGAAATAGAATAAAATGGCTCCAGTTAAATCCCCAAAGTAGCTTAAATTAAGCAATTGAGTTTTTTGGGGAGAGATCAGACTGATTTTTGTGTATGAGATAGAGAATTGCGACCATCAAAAGACTATTTAAAATTATCTTCTGGACTGTTTCCTTGAAAGAAGGAACACTTTCATTTTACTGGGGTTTTTATGAGTCTCAGTCTCCTCAGCAAAAGCACCCAACATTTCCTCATGTTTTCTGAATATCTTCTGCTACTTAAGATGTAAATCTAGTAGATGCTATCTGTATAGCACACTATATTTTATTTATATGACTAAGGCTCTAAGTTGTTAACGTCTATTTCCTTTTTTTATGAGTCCATACATGCAATCTTGCACCTTAAGGAGGTGATTCTCACACATTATAAATGAGTTTGTGCTATATGCATAATTTTTATCATTCATGAAACTTACATTCAATATTTTCAAGTTTCTGTAATTCATTCATGACGACTCTGCCACATGAAGTACCAAAAAGGGAACAACTAATCTGCAAGAGTAAATCCATTTGCACTGTCATATAAAAGCCAAGATTTTCAGCATGTAACAAGAACAAGTATTTTAAACCAACAGTACCAAGAAACTGTTTGTCTGTTTGTTTACAATTACAGCTATAAGATAGTTGCAATATTTTTTTTATTTTTATTTTTTTTTAAGATGTCCTACTTCAGGAGAAAACCTTTAAAGTCTCAAAGTATCTTTTTGATGCCAGTTGGAACAATCGTGCATTTAGCTTATATTATTGCTTCTGCTATTATATCCAAATGCATTGTTAGAAATCAAGGAAAATACTGCACTCCCATATTTCACTAGGTACCTTACTCTAATTTAAAAGGATGAAAAGGCATGGGGGAGAGAGGGCTAGAGGCAGACACACACACAGACGTGACTACAGGAAAAGTTATCCCTTCAGGTTTGCTCCCAGAAAGTAGTACCACTAATTGTCTTTTGTTGAATAACACAGTCTTACTTCCTCCTTATTGCAAAATTCCAGGAAGTAAGTCATGAAATATTTCAGAA